ATGAAGAAGGTGATGATGATGATGATGATGATGATGATGGAATATATGCTATACTTTGCTGTTAGTTGATGTATTTGTAACCCTGGTTGAATGGCTGGCTTTCAGATGTGCACTAAGGATTAGCTCTGCATTTCTACATACATGTCTACATTTAAAAAAAAATGCAACATTTCTAAACCTATAAAAATACATTTTTGCATGCATGCACAAAGACAAGAAGTAGGTTGCACGTGCATTGAGCCTTCTCCCCCCTCCCCAACTCCATTTCCTCCCCACGTTATTGTGCATTTTTCTTTTCAGACCTTATCTGAACAGAACAATCTTAATTCCTCTATATGCTGGGATGGGAGTCAGAGAAGCACTGCAGCTCGCGCGTCCCTACATCAGTCCGTGTCCGCATCTGTCTGCTTTAAAAAAAATAAAAAAAAATAAAATCACACAATTCTACACTAATTCGTTTTAAAACAAAAAAGCACGATGAATGAAACTGCACTGTGGACCGTTGTTCAGTTCGTCACATACTCCACAGTGTGCCATGCGATGCACCGCTCGCGCCCTTGCGCTTTATCGCTCTCTCAGTCACATCAACGCTACCGAACACGCACGAGCTCCAACTCAAATCCGTTGAAAAATTCGAACCCTGGTATTTTTGCATGCTCGGACGGATTAAAGGGTGTTGTGTGTGTGTGTGTGTGTGTGTTTCTTAAATGAAGGTTGTACTCACCATCTCGGGCACTGCTGGGACGCCTGCGATCCCTCTTTTCGCTTTGGGGTCTGATTGTGGTACCCGGGAGAACGCGCGAGTCATGCGTGCGGTTTGCGCACACACGCGCGCACACGCGCACAGTCACTGCGGGGCAGAGCTAGGCAAAGAGCATGCTCTAGCTTACTGTTTGCCTTCTAGTCTTTCCTAAAGCGGGGATTTGGTCTAAACGGTGTCCTGAAGCACCAGAACTAGACCAGTCGACTAAAAGATCCTCCCTGTAAGATATTATCCCACACCGCAGTATTCATCAGACGATTGAAGGGGGAAAATGCCCGGATGCTACACTAGAAAATCCAAACTCTCCAAACATTGGACATTGAATTGAATCCAACATTTATATCGGTGGAATATATTAGTATACGAGTTACCTTAAACATGTCATGTATAAATTAATAAAAAAAAAACATGTCCAGATTCCTGAGATGATAAATTGTCATATGTTTAGTTAATAATTTGTCTTAATTGTAGTTAGACTTGACTTATTGTTGACCTTTTCTAAAATAACACATATTAAGAAGTGCATGGATAGTCCTTGGGAATGAACACCACATTCAGGTTCAATTCATCCATCTATCCATCTTCTATACGACTTATCCTTTTCTTCAGGGTCGCAGGGAACATGGAGACTTTACCAGGGAGCATCAGGGACAAAGCGGGGTACACCCTGGACATGGCGCCAATCCATCGCAGGGCACAATCACATACACAGCGGATACTTTGGACATGCCAATCAGCCTACCATGCACGTCTTTGGACCGGAGGAGGAAACCGGAGTACCCGGCGGAAACCCCTGCAGCACTCGAACCCCCAACCCTGGAGGTGTGAGGTGAACGTGTTAACCACTAAACCACCGTACTGTGTAGGTTCAACTCAATTCAGTTTTAATTAGATAGTCCTTTTCACGATGGACATCGTCACAAAGCAGTTTTACAGAAATGTATCATTATAAAATCTACATTTTAAATGGAGACATTTGTCCCTAAGGAGCAAGCCAGAGGCGACGGTGGCGCCCTGGCGAAAAAACTCCCTGAGATGATGTGAGGAAGAAACCTTGAGAGGAACCAGACTCAAAAGGGAACTCGTCCTCATGTGGGTGACACCGCATAGTGTGATTATGAAACAACGTACAACTGTGCAATCAGGCAATTCACCACTGTCTCAACAGGAAGACTATTCCACTGAGGTCATGAACTGTCCACCGATGGAGACCTGAGCACAAAGTCTGTTTGTGCAATTGCAGCCCAAATCCGTCACCGCAACCGCAGTCTGTCCTTCAAGCGACGAGAACTACAGAAGCAGGGCACCAGGACGGTCTAGGCCGGCCCGAAAGCAGAACAGGTCAGGCCCACATCTATCCCAGGAGCAACACATAGAGCTGGTTATTAGACGTCGGTATCAGGTCATGCAGGTCTAACCAAAAATATCTGATCAAAATGATAGAAATGACCATTTCCCCAGAGAAATAGACCAATATTCTTAATATATACGCAATTTTCACAATGCTTGATACATCTGATTTTGGAGGTTTTAAAAAACCCTAAGTTGGTCTTCTGATGTTATTTATTTATGTGTTTGTTTGTCATAATGATGGAAATCTCACGAACACATCATCATTATCATAGTTATTATATTCATTATTGAGTTCTTGTATCTAAAACTCAAAAGCAAGGCCTGTAAATCAAGACAATGTGAATCTAATCTATCGCATTTTACTGAAAGTGTGTTATTCGAGGGGAAGATTCAGAAATAAAAAAGTGTTATGGCACCAATAAATAGGTCAAATGTAATTATACAGTACTGTGCAAAACTTTTAAGAACATGCGAAGAAATACTGTAGAGCAAAGATGCCTTCAAACATAGTGACATTAAAGGTTTCTCCACTCAAAAAATAACAATATGAAGAACAGTGAACAGTAATAAATGAAACAAAGCCAATATTTCGTGTGACGACCTTTTGCTTTAAAAATAAATAAATAAAAGTACACACAAAATGCTTTAGGTAAGTCATATTAAGTAAGCCAGTAAAAGAGTGTGCTCCACCATTTAGACACATATCATGGGAACCAGGATGGCCGAGTGGTTAAGGCGTTGGACTTAAGATCCAATGGACAAATGTCCTCGTGGGTTCAAGCCCCACTCCTGGTAAGACTGTGGCTTTCACTCTCATGGTGGCTCAGAAGAGGGATTCTTTCTTTAGATAGATTCAGAATACATCTGGAATTATGCTAGATAATTGAGTGAACCCTGGTGAGATCCTCTTGTGAGTGAGATATGGCAGTGGAATATTCCAGGATGGCTCAGAGAGCAGAACTGGTCTGAAAAATTAAAATGAGCCTTAAATTGGCACAGTGTGCGTGAAACAGTTAAGGGACATGTAATGAATGGTATATTCACTATTCACAAACACCTGGACTGCTACATAACTGGAAATCTGTTCTGTACAAAATGATTAATAATTGCATTATTAGATGTGATAACATACACAACAAAACTAAGTGCTGAGCATGAATTAATAATAAATTCATATCTTATTAGACTTAATTGTCCATATTAGGCATTTAGGCTCTAGGTAGTGTCATGCAGCTTTGGCAGTTTGGCATTAAGAGCTGTCTGTGTTTAGCTATATATTATTTAAATATATTAGACTGTATGTGAATTGAGGTGAATTCATGCTCAATCGTTCACAGAACACTAAAAACTGTGTTAATTGTACATTTTCACTGCTAATATTGCAATTTTCACCCACAAGATCTATGCTGCAAGACATGCCTTTACAAATTAAGACTACTTCATAGAGAATAAACCTTGTACAAGCGTATAATTAGATCATTATTAAACAAATAAGATTTTTTTTTTTAAAAAAAAAAAAAAAAAAAATTTTTGGGGTGTTTTTTATAAAAAATTAAAAGTTAAAAGATATGAAAAAAAAAAAAAAAAAAAATAAAAAAAAAATTTTCCGGGTTTGCCAGATGTTCAAATGTCCTTCAGTAGTCTTCGTTAATGAATGGTTCCCAATAAATGTTGTCCTAAATTACACACTTGTACTTTTGGTAGACTACCAAAATAGCACTCCAGTGAGATTAGTGTATCTGTGACCTCAGTATATATCAGAAGATGAAAAATGCACAACGTGGTGCCCTGTGATGGAGCGGAGTCCCATCCAGGAACTAGTGCTGCCTTGCACTGTGTTCCTAGGACAGACTATGGATATGCTATGACCATGTCCAGAATAAAGTGGTTACTGAAGATGAATGAACGAATGGGCCACTAACCTCAGGGGTATAGGTGCTGGCTTGTCTGCATGAAGAACCAGGCTGACTGAGTGGTTAAGGTAGTGGATTTAGGTGCCAATGGATGAATATTCTTATGTGTTCAAAGCCCAGTCTGGGTAGGATCTAGGTTTTAGATTGTCATGGTTCAAAGCGGTGTCATTGTCTTGCCTTACAACCTGGGAATTCAATCTTATCCTTAAAGGGCTAGTGTGGCTGGAGGCTTTCATTACAGCCAGATTGGAGGCACTGGTAGATGTTGATTGGAGTTGATAGTTGATTGGACATTAAGTGATTAAATCAGTGAAATCAGGTGTGGATCCTGCTTTGTTGGAATCAAAGCCTGCAGCCCCACTCACCCTTTGTGGATAAGATCGAAGAAGCCTGCCTTACAATTTCAATTCCCCATCAAGGAAGATCAGGGAATTGTTATTCATCAGGACCCTTCGCCATTCACAAGTTGTAGTTCTCCCTATCCTTAAGACACCTGGCATGATGTGAGAGTGTTTAGAGTATTGAACATAAGACCCATTGGACAATTATTCTATCCCACTCTTGTTTGGTCCTTGAGCAAGCCTCTTTCACACTGTTCAAAGGTCCTGGTAGGGTCATTGTGTCATCCAACCATTGTTTAACACTTGAGCAAGAACTCCTCACCATCAACTGCTCTTGGTTAAGGTAGTCCCCCAAGAGCGTTGCCATGTATTTCATTTAGTGTAGGAAATATTTTTCATTTCAATGATAGCACGTACTGTTCTCCTGGTACAGAGTGTCATGTGCAGTATATATACACTAGCCATCTTCTTTATTGTATATTGTTTTACTTCATAGTTTTTTTTTTCCTTGAAGTATCTTACATACAAACAGAAACACAGGGCAACATTTACCAGGGTCTTGGAGTTGCAAGACAATGGCAACTCCAAAGGCACACCTTTTAACCATAACAACCTAAAATGTAGACCATGTACCATGAGCTGGGGTTTGAACCCACGAGGAAACTTATCCATTGGATCTTAAGTCCAACGCCTTAACCACTCGGCCATCCTGGTCCCATAGGAGGAGCTAATTTTTGGAGCTAATGTTTTATCCTGGGTTGTGGTGGATCCAGAACCTATCCCAGGAATATTGGGTGCAAAGTTTGAATACAACCTAAAGCAGGGGTGGGCAATCTTATCCGGAAAGGGCCGGTGTGGGTGCAGGTTTTCATTCCAACCAAGCATAAGCCACACCTGAATCTATTGAAAGCCATGATCAACTCATTAAACAGGTGGAATTAGGTATGCCTCCTGCTTGGTTGGAAGGAAAACCTGCACGCACACCGGCCCTTTCTGGATAAGATTGCCCACTCCTGTCCTAAAGGAATGCGACTCCAGTCCATTGCCGGGCACCATGTATACACATTCACAAACTCATTCACTTTTAGGGGCAATTTAGTACAGCCAATCCACCTCCTCATGTTTTGGTAAGGTGGGAGGAAACCAAAGACCAGCGCACCTGGAGGAAACTAGGAGAACATGCAAAACTCCACCCCGCCCTATGTTCAGGATCAAACCCTAGAGCCAAGAGGCAGTGGTACTTCACACTGTCAAATATATCACACATTTGTAATAAGTAAACATTTGTATAAGTGGAATTCCATTTCTAACATGGAATATTGGGACTTATATTAGTCTGAGAAAATTTGTGTAATGTTGAATCTGCTTGGCCTGTCTCTGATTCTCTGCCTATAGATGTTCCAGGGGCAGCTAATAGCCACATCAGAAGGGTTTTTTTATTTTTTTATTTTATTATTATTAATCGTATTCTAAAATTGACTAGCAGTGCTGCAAAAATGCTTTAGGAACGCCATATTAAGGAAGCCAGTAAAAGAGTATGCTCCACCATTTAGAGCCATACAACACAAGAACCAGGATGGCCGAGTGGTTAAGGCGTTGGACTTAAGATCTAATGGACAAATGTCCTCGTGGGTTCAAGCCCCACTCCTGGTAAGACTGTAGCAGCCACTGCTGTGGCTTTGCAGAGGGATTCCATCTTTAGATCTTTTCAGCCTCAATTGCTCTGGAATTATGGTAGATGATAACCTGGAAGGCCCCACTTAGGTCTCGCTCTTGTGAGTGAGAAATGGGAGTGGAATACTTCAATAATGTATTGTTTAACTTTAAAAATGGAGGGCAAGAACATAGTAGCCATCAAATAAAGGTTGTGTTAAGACAGGAAGCGTTCTCCTGTCCTACTATTTGTAGGCACTTGAGAAAATTCCTTTTACACTTAACCCACATGCCCAAAAGCCTGATCTTTCACTTAGTTGTGTGTGAGATATGGCAAGGGCGTGCAACGTAATTGAACAATACTTTTTAAAAAATGTTAAAATCAAATCCCTTAAAAACTGAACATAGTGGTGTGTAGTGCTGGTTCTACTGGAGCAGCCATTGAGAGAATGCCACTCCATTAAAGCACTGTATTTTGTTAACCCTGCTCTCAAATTCAGTTGATTGCTTTAGTGATTTTATTTACAAGAAATATAAAGTTGGCGTATACAGAGGCTTTGGGCACATGAATGATGTCAAAATGGGATTTCTGTCCATGGAAGGTAATGCGATGAACTGTATGTATTATTGCAACATTATTTCAACTCTAAAGATTGTTGTAAATGATTTTGCACTCATTTTTAATTTCTTGAATAATGAGATCCACATAAATGGGTAAAAATATGAATGTTTGAATGACGCTGACCCAAAATTTGTCATGAGCCTGTTCTGTTCCGCTACATTTAATGATATGGACATGTAAATTATGAAAATGAATGACTGAAATTAAATATTTTTAAAGGTAAAAAACTTTTATATCAAATCAGATACAGCTGACAACATCCTACTGTTTATGATGCTTGCTGTACTGTCACCTAACCCTTGCGTTTAGGTAATTATTGATAAAAGGAAGTGTTGAAGTTCACATTTTATGGATATTTTAGTGGAAGACGAGCTTCTTCAGAACCTCTGTGAAAAAGATTTGGTGGCAGGATAGACTCAATACAGACCGTAAAATCTACGCATCGATCTTGGGGTTTGAAATGCACTGAGCTACTTCAGCACCATGGACAGAGACCCAGCATTTGTTCCCTTTGAACATGGATTTTGAAATGTTCCGTCTGTCACATCTCTTTCTCCTGAAAGGTCATGAAAGTGTTACATACTCCTATTCGTGAACTGTACATGTTATGGTAATGAAAACATTACTTTGTTGGATATGACATTGATATGATGTTGGTCCTGAATCTATCGTTGGGAATCTATGTTATCCCTATCTTAAACATTTTTGTGTTTTCCCTGCTCTAATACACCCACTTCACCCTAGGAAGGGCTGTTTAGATTAATCTGGTGTGTTGGCACCAATGAAAGCACTAAAATTTTCCTAGATGAAAAAGACACAGACATCTGTTTTGTTTTGTTTTTTAAACCAACAGAATGGTACAATTCTTGAATCTGACTGGTCATAAGGTGCTGATTAAGGTTCTATAACAGATGTTAAACAGTCTGTACTTATATAGCACTTATATACCCCATTCACACCAATGGTAGCAGAGCTGCCACGCAAGATGCTAACTTGCCATCGGGAGCAACTCAAGGTTCAGTGTCTTGCCCAAGTACACTTGGTAATTCACTTCATGTGGAGTCACATGGGCCAGGAATTGAACCACCAACCCTACGATTGGTAGACAACCCGCTCTACCACCTGAGCCACAGCCACCCATTTATTCCTCTATAACAGCAGCTCTAATAGTCCAATGGACTAATAAAGGACTAATAGAGTCCTAATAAAGAGATTACAAAGTATTAAGTGTAAAGTTACTTAACAAAAAAATACCATGTAATCAGTGATATGGGGAAATTTTTCAGGTGACGTTTATTTATCATTTACAGAAGGGATCTCTAGTGCTTTGTGGATATTCCGTAACATTAAACGTAACTATAAAACGGATCAAAAGTATGACGACTTTGTTTACTAAATATAAATATTGTAATCATTAGGCAACTGTATGATGAGAGGAATAAATCACATTCGGACGTGCTTTTGAAAATAATCAACTTCAGGGAAGTAACCACAACCTGCCGATTATTTTCCGACAACAGAACGCCCTCAAATGTGTTATTGCATATTTCCCTATTCATGCATGCTGTTCAATTAATCTTACAGGCTCAGTGCGCTTTGATTTCAAGTATATTTACGAAGACTATGGAGGCCATGGTTTCGGGAATTCTACTTCTATTTCGTTATCATCTCTTCTAATCTCTTTTATGCCTTTTAGGCATGATTGGATTCTGTCTTAGTATAACAGATTAGAATGATCAGGTAAGGGAAGTGTGTGTGTGTGTGTGTGAGAGAGAGAGAGAGAGAGAGAGAATGAAGGGAGAGTGAAAAACAGCATCTTTCCAGTATATAATCCATAATATATAAAAAAGAATAGCTCTACTATGGCAGGTTGGACTGTAGGCCATTAAACATAGTGAAATATGTGGTGCATTTGTACATCTGTGTGGCTTTCCACCTCCCCATCGAGATGAACTGCGCTTCAACTTCCACTGTGCGCACCAAGCTGAGAAGGCACAGTGAGCTCCTCCAAGGCTGCCAAACACACACGGGGGTGTCAAGTGCCCTATAATACCTGCAGGGCATCCAACACAACAAGAAGCAGATTCCTGCTCTAGAAAAACATCAGATCTGTATTCCACAGAGGCAGTACACACTCTAGGTTTTTTCCTAGATGTTCACATTCTTAACCAGGAACGAGAAATCGAGATCACCAAAAGCAAATAAACTTGAGGATTATTATATGTGGCTTGCACTTAAAAAAAAAATAATAAAAAAAATCAATAGCTGCTGAACTGTTTCCATGGCAAAAAAAAAAAAAGATTATTTCAAGCCTTTGGCACAGCCAGCAGGAGCCTTGCACAGCTCTCAAAGAGCTGGTCGAGGCTCTCGGCCGGAAGAGAGAGGCCACTCCTCACTAATAACCGCCCATAGATAACTAAACACAACATCCTCCGCGACAAACAAAGGCCTTGGCATATCAAAGTGCATTAAAAGGAAAGCACATCTGTAGCTTTGCTCTCCCAAAAATACACCCGTTCCTGTTTACAACAGAGTGAAGCCCCGGATGCCCAGCGAATATGCTTTAATGTTTTCCCACCATTGTTTTCCAGCTCGCTCGGTTTTGCAAGTGATTAGACGTTTTCAATGGAGCGTTTCAATTATGGCCCGAGTGGGCCGGATCGCCATGGTGATGAGCCTGTGATGCAGACAGAGAAGGATGCTTAAAGTGCTGGGCAGCAAAACTCTGTATTGACAGAGCTCTTGGGGGGGTGGATGGCCTCTCGACATACCATCAACCTCCACTCTCATTAAAGACGAGAAGAAGGGGGTGCAGTCGACGGAGCATCGACTGCTGTGCCCGCTCCACCCCCACATGTGAGAGAATGTCAGTGTCATAAAACGAGATATAAATGACTCATATGAATCACTCGGCGTTCTCTATAGGAGGACGTTTGAACGTAGGCCGTATGGTGGATAACTGCTATTTACAGGTTGCAGTGTGGGTTAGGAACAACACAAGCAGATGTGGAAACCATCATAGAATACATTGATTTGATTAATAATAGTCATAAGAAATAGGGGAACATTTCCACATTTCCTCCCCAATTTGGTCATCTGACTATTCTCACCCAATCAGCCAACTCTCCTCTATCGTACAACCGTGGAAGGTGCAGGCTAACATATGCTTCGTCCGAGACCCGGCAAACCGGTTTTCGAACTGCGTCTCATGCAGGACCGATTGCTTCGATTGGCTAGCGTCGCTGTGATTGTCCGGGGAGAAAGAGCATGTCATTCCTCCCACCCAGAAAGCACAGCTAATTTTGCACCCTTAATTGGCTCTTGGCCAAGACAGATGTGGCATCTCTGGGATTAGATGAACACCATTCCTACTTTGAAAATGACGTAAAAGATAAATAAATAAAGACCAAAAAAAAAAAAAAGCTCAAAAAACTAATGA